GTAACTCTGAACGTGAACAGGCTCAATGACCCCATCAAAAGGCGCAGGGTTTCAGACTGGATAAAAAAGCAGGACCCATCGATTTGCTGTCTACAAGAGACTCATTTTAGACAGTAGGACACCTACAACCTGAAAATAAAAGGTTGGAGAACCATTTACCATTCAAATGGTTCTCAAAAGAAAGCAGGGGTAGCCATCCTTATATCAGATAAACTAAAATTTACCCCGAAGACTGTAGTGAGAGATGAAGAGGGACACTATATCATACTTAAAGGATCTATCCAGCAAGAGGACTTAACAATCCTCAATATATATGCCCCGATTGTGGGAGCTGCCAAATACTTAAACCAATTATTAACCAAAGTGAAGAAATACTTAGATAATAATACACTTATACTTGGTGACTTCAATCTAGCTCTTTCTATACTAGATAGGTCTTCTAAGCACAACATCTCCAAAGAAACGAGAGCTTTAAATGATACACTGGACCAGATGGATTTCACAGATATCTACAGAACTTTACATCCAAACTCAACTGAATACACATTCTTCTCAAGTGCACATGGAACTTTCTCCAGAATAGACCACATACTGGGTCACAAATCGGGTCTGAACTGATACCAAAAGATTGGGATTGTCCTCTGCATATTCTCAGATCATAATGCCTTGAAATTAGAACTAAATCACAACAGGAAGTTTGGAAGGACCTCAAACACGTGGAGGTTAAGGACCATCCTGCTAAAAGACGACAGGATCAACCAGGAAATTAAGGAAGAATTAAAAACATTCATGGAAACTAATGAGAATGAAGATACAACCGTTCAAAATCTTTGGGATGCAGCAAAAGCAGGCTGAGGGGGAAATACATCGCAATACAAGCATCCATTCAAAAACTGGAAATAACTCAAATACAAAAGGTAACCTTACACATAAAGGAGCTAGAGAAAAAACAGCAAATAGATCCTACACCCAGCAGAAGAAGAGAGTTAATTAAAATTAGAGCAGAACACAATGAAATTGAGACCAGAAGAACTGTGGAACAGATCAACAGAACCAGGAGTTGGTTCTTTGAAAGAATTAATAAGGTAGATAAACCATTATCCAACCTTATTAAAAAGAAGAGATAGAAGACTCAAATTAATAAAATCATGAATGAGAAAGGAGAGATCACTACCAACACCAAGGAAATACAAACGATTTTAAAAACATATTATGAACAGCTCTACGCCAATAAATTAGGCAATCTAGAAGAAATGGACGCATTCCTGGAAAGCCACAAACTACCAAAACTGGAACAGGAAGAAATAGAAAACCTGAACAGGTCAATAACCAGGGAGGAAATTGAAGCAGTCATTAAAAACCTCCCAAGACACAAAAGTCCAGGGCCAGATGGCTTCCTAGGGGAATTCTATCAAACATTCAAAGAAGAAACCATACCTATTCTATTAAAGCTGCTTGGAAAGATAGAAAGAGATGGAGTACTTCCAAATTTGTTCTGTGAGGCCAGCATCACCTTAATTCCAAAATCAGACAAAGACCCCACCAAAAAGGAGAATTACAGACCAATATCCCTGATGAACATGGATGCAAAAATTCTCAACAAGATACTAGCCAATAGGATCCAACAACACATTAAGAAAATTATTCACCATGACCAAGTAGGATTTATCCCCGGGACACAAGGCTGGTTCAACACTCGTAAAACAATCAATGTGATTCATCATATCAGCAAGAGAAAAACCAAGAACCATATGATCCTCTCATTAGATGCAGAGAAAGCATTTGACAAAATACAGCATCCATTCATGATCAGAACTCTTCAGAGTGTAGGGATAGAGGGAACTTTCCTCGACATCTTAAAAGCCATCTACGAAAAGCCCACAGCACATATCATCCTCAATGGAGAAGCACTGGAAGTCTTTCCCCTTAGATCAGGTTCAAGACAGGGATGTCCACTCTCACCACTGCTATTCAACATAGTACTGGAAGTCCTAGCCTCAGCAATCAGACAACAAAAAGACATTAAAGGCATTCAAATTGGCAAAGAATAAGTCAAACTCCCTCTTTGCCAATGACATGATACTCTACATAGAAAACCCAAAGGCCTCCACCCCAAGATTGCTAGAACTCATACAGCAATTTGGTAGCGTGGCAGGATACAAAATCAATGCCCAGAAATCAATGGCATTTCTATACACTAACAATGAGACTGAAGAAAGAGAAATTAAGGAGTCAATCCCATTTACAATTGCACCCAAAGGCACAAGACACCTAGGAATAAACCTAACCAAAGAGGTAAAGGACCTATACCCTAAAAACTATAGAACACTTCTGAAAGAAATTGAGGAAACACAAAGAGATGGGAAAATATTCCACGCTCATGGATTCGCAGAATTAATATTGTGAAAATGTCAATGTTACCCAGGGCAATTTACACGTTTAATGCAATCCCTATCAAAATACCATGGACTTTCTTCAGAGAGTTAGAACAAATTATTTTAAGATTTGTGTGGAATCAGAAAAGACCCCGAATAGCCAGGGGAATTTTAAAAAAGAAAACTATAGCTGGGGGCATCACAATGCCAGATTTCAGGTTGTACTACAAAGCTGTGGTCATCAAGACAGTGTGGTACTGGCACAAACACAGACACATAGATCAATGGAAGAGAATAGAGAACCCAGAAGTGGACCCTGAACTTTGCGGTCAACTAATATTCGATAAAGGAGGAAAGACGATCCACTGGAAGAAAGACCGTCTGTTCAATAAATGGTGCTGGGAAAATTGGACATCCACATGCAGAAGAATGAAACTAGACCACTCTCTTGCACCATACACAAAGATAAACTCAAAATGGATGAAAGATCTAAATGTGAGCCAAGATTCCATCAAAATCCTAGAGGAGAACACAGGCAACACCCTTTTTGAACTTGGCCACAGTAACTTCTTGCAAGATACATCTACAAAGGCAAAAGAAACAAAAGCAAAAATGAACTATTGGGACTTCATCAAGATAAGAAGCTTTTGCACAGCAAAGGATACAGTCAACAAAACTAAAAGACAACCTACAGAATGGGAGAAGATATTTGCAAATGACGTATCAGATAAAGGGCTAGTTTCCAAGATCTATAAAGAACTTCTTAAACTCAACACCAAGGAAACAAACAATCCAATCATGAAATGGGCAAAAGACATGAAGAGAAATCTCACAGAGGAAGACATAGACATGGCCAACAGGCACATGAGAAGATGCTCTGCATCACTTGCCATCAGGGAAATACAAATCAAAACCACAATGAGATACCACCTCACACCAGTGAGAATGAGGAAAATTAACAAGGCAGGAAACCACAAATGTTGGAGAGGATGCGGAGAAAAGGGAACACTCTTACACTGTTGGTGGGAATGTGAACTGGTGCAGCCACTCTGGAAAACTGTGTGGAGGTTCCTCAAAGAGTTAAAATAGACCTGCCCTACGACCCAGCAATTGCACTGCTGGGGATTTACCCCAAAGATTCAGATGCAATGAAACGCCGGGACACCTGCACCCGGATGTTTATAGCAGCAATGTCCACAATAGCCAAACTGTGGAAGGAGCCTCGGTGTCCATCGAAAGATGAATGGATCAAGAAGATGTGGTTTATGTATACAATGGAATATTACTCAGCCATTAGAAACGACAGATACCCACCATTTGCTTCAACGTGGATGGAACTGGAGGGTATTATGCTGAGTGTAGTAAGTCAATCGGAGAAGGACAAACAGTGTATGTTCTCATTCATTTGGGGAGTATAAATAATAGTGAAAAGGAATAGAGGGGAAGGGAGAAGAAATGTGTGGGAAATATAGAAAGGGAGACAGAACATAAAGACTCCTAACTCTGGGAAACGAACTAGAGGTGGTGGAAGGGGAGGAGGGTGGGGGGTGGGGGTGAATGGGTGACGGGCACTGAGGGGGGCTCTTGACGGGATGTGCCCTGGGTGTTATTCTGTATGTTGGTAAATTGAACACCAATAAAAAATAAATTTATTAAAAAAAAAAAAGAGGATGGGGATCCCTGGGTGGCGCAGCGGTTTGGCGCCTGCCTTTGGCCCAGGGCACGATCCTGGAGACCCGGGATCGAATCCCACGTCGGGCTCCAGTGCATGGGTCCTGCTTCTCCCTCTGCCTATGTCTCTGCCTCTCTCTCTCTCTCTCTCTCTCTCTCTCTCTCTCTCTCTCTCTGTGTGTGTGTGTGTGTGTGACTATCATAAATAAATTAAAAAAAAGAGGATGAATGAACCATAAAGCTAAAGCATGTAAAATTTTTAAAATCACAAATATCAATACCTGGGTTCTTCTATTTTAGCACAAAAGAAATATAGAGATTCTCTGAAGAATTACAAGTTAAGGGAGAGAGAGAAAAAAAATATCCAGGAAATACGTGCGGGTTCTGACCCAGAAAATCAATGGACACATGAATGGTAAACTCACATGCTGATTCCTTCACCATGTGGAATAATAAAAAATATGGATGCATATATTTACCTTAGGGACTTCAAAATATTTGAAATTGTTCTATCAAAAATGTCTATTTTTTCCTATTAAAAAAGTTTTTTAAAAATATTTTATTTATTTATTCATGAAAGACACACAGAGAGGGGCAGAGAAAGAGGCAGAGGGAGAAGTAGGATCCATGCAGGAAGCCCAATAGGAGACTCAATCCCGGGACGGAAGGATCACCCCTTGAGCTAAAGGCAGATGTTCAATGGCTGAGCCAACCAGGTATCCCCCAAAAAAGGTTTAAAACATATACAGTTTAGTTTTTTGAAAAGATATTTTTCCCCACAGGAAATACACAAGTAATTATATGAAGTGTGAACATTCTGAAGAAAATACTACATCTGCCACAGAGGAGGAGGGGTGACCATAGTGCTGTGCTTCTAGATGTCCCCATGTTGAGTGAGCATCTTCATACCAAGGAGGAAGCCTGTGAACACAGGCAGATTTAGGTCTCACTTCCTCATGAGCTTGTACCACTGTGGAAACTATTACTACCAGCATATGCGCTGCAGTAATAATCAGCCTCATCTTCAGCCTGGAGCCCAGAGATGGTCAAGGAGGCCGTGTTCCCAGACTTGGAGCCAGAGAAGCGAGCAGGGATCCCTGACGGCCGATTATTGGTATAGTAAATCAGGAGTTTGGGGGAGGTGCCTGGGAACTGTTGGTACCAGTCGATATAATTATTACTGCCAATGTTACTGCTGCTTCCATCACAGGAGATGGTGACAGTCTGGCCCAAAGTCCCAGACACCGAGGAAGGTTGAGTCAGGGCAGACTGGGCCCAGGACCCTGAAAAGAGAGAGAGCATAATACAATGAGTTTAGTGCTGGGTACCCAGGTAAGGCTGAGGAGGAGAGAGAGGATCAAACTAGATGGCCCCAAGGCCCTTTCCCTGGAGACCTCACCTGTGCCCTGAGAGAGAAAGGTGAGGAGGACCAGAGTCCAGGCCATGGTGGAGATGCCCCAAAATCACTGCCTTCTGAGACCCCAACCCTGGGCCTGGCTCCCCCATAACTCCCTTATCCCCTCCCCTGCCTCAGAGGAGGGAGGGGCCTCCATGCAAATATGTTTCCTGACCCTGCCTCTCCCCACCCACCCTGACCTGACTCTCTCTTCTAGGTACTTCTGCATCCCTGGGCAGCAGAGCTTAGCTGCGCAGAAATTAAAACACTTTCACAGGGATTTTCTGAACCATGACTGACAGGAACCCATGACAGACCCTAGGAATTCAAGCCAGACTTGGAATATCTATACCTTCCACTGAGGAATTCTTGGTGTGGATAGGGGAGGAATCTCCGACCAATTCATTGTGTGGAGGAGGGAAGAAGAGAACTCCAGGGTTGCTGAGATTAGAGGAGATTCAAGTACTCCTCTACCCAGGATCACAGGCAGAGCTGGGATCTCATTGCCCTCCACTGCGTCTTGGTTTCCCTCTAATACCTGCATTTCAACCTTTGGTCTGCGTCCTGCTCAACAGTGGATTCAGGTTAGGACATGCTTACTGGCACTTCCAGAAAAGGAATTATAGGAACACAACAGATATTAGACCCCTCTTCCTTCATGTTCCATCTAAAGTGTCTCCAGATTAGAGACACTGCATTAGACCTGCATAAAGGAGAAAAAAAAACAAATACTGCTTTTCCCACAACGGGCCGTCGCTGCCGCCTAGTGGCCCCATGGGATAAAACCAAGCACCAGGGCAGGCAGCACAGAGAGCACTCAAAACCCATGTTCTGCTCATCTTCCTCCTGCCCTCCCTCCACACCTTCCCAGCTCAGTCCCAGGCCCCCTGGTCTCTTTGACGCAACTTTAGATTCTTTCCACTTATCCTTTACTTCCTCAACATCGAAATAAGGAATCTGCAAAATGGAGTGGCCCAGATGCTCCCTCTCTGAGTCACCTTGCTTATTCCAGAAAGGCCAAGTCACAGGAATAGAATATGTGGATGGATGTGGCTCAGGGCTGAGGAAACATCACATATTATTAAATTAATTCGATCTCAGTTGGTATGAGGATGAGAAAAGAGGGACTGCGAGAAAATGGCTGAATTTTTTAAATGATTAGAAAACAAGAATATTGCAAGAAATAGAGTTGAATCAAAGTGGAGAAATATCACATTGATATCCAGACAAAGATTCCAATATTTGAGCCTCTGGGAGATGGGGACTGGAGTCAAGATTGGCCTCAGGGGGTCCAACTCCACGATGTCTCACCAGGGCAAGTGTATGTGCCACAGGGGACACTGCATGATCTCCATCCGGCCTCTTTATGCACACCTGTGACCTAACTTTGCAGCTGTGTGCCTTCCTGGGGCAACGTCTTGTCATCCACATAGAGATTTTTAACCTTCTGTGTTTTCCTAAGAGAAAATGTTTTTGGAGAAATACTGGTCAAGACGGATGGATCCTTTCTAGGAGTTCTATGGAATAGAGATGCTCTGATGACACACTTTTTGTGTCAGTCATATCACATGACAGGTGATTCCAAGAGCTTTTGAATAGTGTGTCGCTGGCCCAGACCATGGGATGAGTGGAGTGGTGGACATTGTGATGGGGGAAAGGAAAAGTATTCTTCAGAAAATATATGTATAGGTTGGGACTTGAGATTAGTGTTTGGGTGTTTTAAACATCAGCTACTGAAGTATTCAGGCACTTAATTAAGTAATGATGTCGATTTTTTTGGATAATAATAACACTAGATGATGACCTTGCCCTAAATCATCAGCGAAGCATCTGAAACTACATTTGTACCCTAGTAAATTGTATCCCTGTCTCTTGGGATCACAACAGAGAGGCCTCCTGTGAACAGTCCAAGTAGCCAGATGCTTCCTGCAAGAGACCAACCACTGATCTTCACGAGGAGCTGCTTTGCATCAGTTCCATCATCTCTGAGCTAGGAGCACCTTCTGGGTCTCCCATCATAGAAGAGAAAATGATTCATATGAAATTAATTTGTAGTACTGTGCCCACAAAAATATACATGACATAGAAAACCTATGCTAGACTGCCACAAAAGGAGGGAAAATGAACACATGCACATAATATGATGAAAGAGCAGTAAAGCTAAAATAGGTATAATTTTTATATCACACAAATTGGTACCCAGTTCTATCATTTAAAATACAAAAAATATAGAGATTTCTTAAGAATCACAAGTTAAAAGACACAGAAGAGAGTGAAAATATCTAGGAAAACTGTATGGGGTCTAACCCAAAAAATTGATGGACACATGAAGGGTAAATTCACACACATACTGATTCCCTCTCCATGTAGATAAATAAAGCACAGATGGCTATATTGACCATAATGATTTCTAGCATTTAAAATTATTTCTATCAAAAGTGTATATATTCCCATCTTTAAGAAAATTTTGTAAAATAGTTATTTAAAAAGCATAGTTAGGGGATCCCTGGGTGGTTCAGCAGTTTGGCGCCTGCCTTTGGCCCAGGGTATGATCCTGGAGACCCGGGATCAAGTCCCACATCAGGTTCCTGGCATGGAGCCTGCTTCTCCCTCTGCCTGTGTCTCTGCCTCTCTCTCTCTCTCTCTCTCTCTCTCTCTCTGTCATGAATAAATAAATAAAATCTTTAAAAAAATAAAAATAAAAATAAAAAAGCATAGTTATTTGAAAGGACACAGGAGACTGTTTCTATAACTTGAGACACAACATACAAGATGGAAGGGCTATGGCAATTCCTGAAATCTCATTTTGGAGTGATCCTGTTGGTTAACATCTAGTTTGTGTCTTTCCCTGTGATTTTCTCTAGTATGAAAATAGAAATTAATTTCTCAGAAGGAAATTGTGTTCCCATCTAAAAGGAGACACAGTTGAATTGGCACAGTTGAATTGGTGGTTCATTGTCCTCCTATGCCCATGTGGATACTTTGTAAAGATCTCATTGATGCCATTACAGTCAGGGAGCAGGTCTTACACCAGGCCCTAGAACACAACCAGACAGTAGTCCTTCTGCCAACATGTTTGTCTCCTTGTAGACACACACCCTACAGCAGGTGCAGCCTCCAACCACTAGTTGCTTTGGATAGCACAGACCCCCTCCCCACTGGGCTGGGAAAAAGATGGTGAGGGGTTCCTTGTATGACTCTGTTCTGACTTCGATGATTCAAGCACAAAGGTACTGACTGTTTATGATGGAAAGGAAGAAGGCATGTGGTGAAAAGATTTTTGCAAATATTGATGGTGAGAACATTATGGAAAGTTTGAGCTCTTAAGTAAGTGACTGTATAGTCAGGGCTATCCAGCAAAACAGAAGTAATATGAGTTCTGTGTGTGTGGATATGTATATGCGTGTATATATACATTTGTGTGTTGATTTGTTTATATTTTTAAATGTATGACATACTTCTATGCATTTATATTTAAGTATATAAAATATTTTATACATAAATAATTAATGTTTTATACATAATTATATAAAATTGTATGAAACCGGGAACCCTGGGTGGCGCAGCGGTTTGGCGCCTGCCTTTGGCCCAGGGCGCGATCCTGGAGACCCGGGATCGAGTCCCACGTCGGGCTCCCGGTGCATGGAGCCTTCTTCTCCCTCTGCCTGTGTCTCTGCCTCTCTCTCTCTCTGTGACTATCATAAATTAAAAAAAAATCAAAATTGTATGAAACCTAGATTACATATAAAAATACAAAGTGGCACATATAAATTTTTAAATGTACTTTTATACATGTAAAACTATATCTAATTATATGGTTTGGATCACATTATTATTGAGGCAGGGTAATTCATGAGCTGCAATCTGCAAACTGCAGACCCAGGAAAGTCAGCAGCATAATTCACTTATGGCCCAAGGACCTGAAAACCAGGGAAGAAAAAATGTAAATTTGAGTCCATGAGCAGGAGAAGGAGATACAAGGTTCCCAGCTCAACCAGAGACCCAAGAAGAGAGGTCAGTTCCTCCATCTTTGGTTTTTATTCCACTCAGGCCTTCAAAAATTGGGTCATATACACACACCATAGGGAGAAATCTACTGTATTAAAACCCCAAATTCAAATTCTAATCTCAACCAGGGCACCCTCACAGGCACACCAAGAAATAATGTTTCATCTGGGTGCCCAGGTCCCATTCAGGTTCAGATAAAAAATTAACCATCACAGTAGCCATCTTTCCTGATTCCTTAACTGGGAATGAGGTTGTTGCAGGGACATTGCAGCTCCAGTGCTAAAATGGGAAACTTCTAGCAACATGGGAAGGGTTGGTCACAGCCCTGGTCTTCGGATGCTTGAACTTCATTCAGTTGTTCAAATAATTCATTGATTTATTTATAAATTTAATTTATAATAATTTATAAATTATTTTAATAATTAATATATTTTTATATATTAGGGAAGAATTGCAACTGGAGCTCCAGCTAGACATTGGATTGTTTATTAAAGAAAACAGATGCTTTGGGTTTCTTGTGGAAAAGAGGACATACCCATCAGCTATCTCTTCCTTTCTAGAAGAAAGGAGTAATTTTGGAAAGAACCCTGGCTAATAGGAACAGAGTCTCCACATGTCTTAGCTGATGAGTTGAATAGTTGGGAAGAGTCCCATTCTGGAACCAGAGCACAAAGGCAAAAAGGAAGTCTTCATTGTACCAAAGCAGATGCAGGGGTGCATTAGGATGTTCTGGTGATCAAGGAGAGGAGATGAGTGAGACCTGAGTTCTAAAACCATGCTGCTGGCCAACATGCACATGAGAAAATGCTCTGCATCACTTGCCATCAGGGAAATACAAATCAAAACCACAATGAGATACCACCTCACACCAGTGAGAATGGGGAAAATTAACAAGGCAGAATCAACAAATTTTGGAGAGGATGCGGAGAAAAGGGAACACTCTTACACTGTTGGTGGGAATGTGAACTGGTGCAGCCACTCTGGAAAACTGTGTGGAGGTTCCTCAAAGAGTTAAAAGTAGACCTGCCCTACAACCCAGCAATTGCACTGCTGGGGATTTACCCCAAAGATTC